AAAACCTCTGGAGTTTGTAGAGGAAAACAGTATTTTTCCAGGAAAAACCATAGTTTTCAGGAGTGTAAGACTTGAAGAACCACTGTTTTGAACCAACTCTCAAAGGGCTGAGTGCCCCCGACTTGGTCTCTCCTGGTTGACTCACGCATTTTCCACTCGCCTGCCGATGCGGCGAAAGAGGTCATCGGCGGTTTCTTCCAAGCGTTGGGTCCGGGGGTTGTTATCCTTCCAGGAATGATCTGGCATGGTTGATCTGTTCCCCAAATAGAGTTGAAAGCATGTCAAATACAAAGCATGTCAGATTTCACAATACTGTACAATGTTGAAAGCATCTGAGTGGATTTCAACATTGTATTCTTTCAACAGCTGACATCGTGCCCTTGTGTGTCATACATACCTTCAAAGATCACATTCCGTCAGCGATGTTCATCAATCAAACATTCAGGCTCACACACGAGGAAGGTCGGCACATCGGCACATGTTCCAAAACTTTCCACTTGATCAACTCAACATCATGTGACGGGCTTTCCCAAGTGCCTGCTGGCTGTATGACTTATATACCACCTGTGAGCCAGGATTTCAAACATCACACAACTCCTGGCCTGTTCCAAGCCACAGGCCGCCGACCCCAGAGGGTGGGATTCTTTAGTTTCAATGACACCAGTACACTCCTACTCACCTTCCATGGACGTCTTCCCAGGGCTTCTGCATGCCTATGCCATCCAGGTGGCTGAGGGTCAGAGTGTGTGTTTGGAGACAAACTCCATGGCATCGTGAATCAGCAAGACATGATGCCATATGTCGATGCAGCCCTTACCCATGGCGTGCATGGCTCACTCTTCATCTGTCATCCCATTCGTGAGTCGTGAAAACCTCTGTTTTCCTCGTGGAAAACCTCTGAATTGGTCGGCCCTCCCGAGAACCAACAATATCAAAGAGACCCTGGAAAACACCAACCACACATTTAAAACCACACGTCGAAAGTGGTCTATAGACCCATGCCTATCCGGCCCTACTCCACAGAAACATGCTCTGCCTGACCCGGACGCTGAGCTGGTTTTCCGAATGATCAGACTGGAGGACTGGTTTCGTCGACCAATTTTCGAGAGCTGGCTTGGTCTTCAGATTCATTACCGACATATGGAGTTGCCGGGGTTATGATTTGGGCCAGTTCGCCCGAGTCAATCCCAATAGTTCACATCCCAAAAAAATATCATAATATATATATATATACAGTAGAACAGTGCAGCTAGTCTGAGAATGTACGAGGATACCTAGAAGAGCACCTTTGATCCCTGGGACATATATGAGCAGCGGACAAAATTACTTGTGTAGCCAAATACCATTTGACATGATTATCGTTTTTGGTGGGGTCCATATCGTTCTCCAATGTTTCTCCAAACCGCAGTTAGCATAGCATACCGGCACATAGACTAAAACATAAAATATAACTCACAACCTCAGATTAGAGTCTTAGAGGCTTACAGTGCTTTCTGCACAGGAATGGCACAGCACTTGATTTATGCACTTGGGTTCTTGTGGCACTGGGCTGTGCAAGGATCACAACACATAAGCGGGGACCTAGTAGCTCGGCCCATGAACAAACACTAGTCACTAGTAATGTGGAGAAGTAGGTCTACGGAGTGACTGGCGCGACATTTAGGTTATCGTTTGCTTATCGTTTGGATTATCGTTTGGGAAGTTGTCTGGGGTTATCATTGGTGAATGCTCAAATAAACATGCAAATGCAAATGCAATAACATATTGTAACTTAACAAGATTATCGTTTTTGGTGGGGACCATATCGTTTTCCACAGAAACGAAGCCCTCAACATAGGTTTAGGGTCATGCCGTGACTAAATAAGTCAACCAATAATTTTGTCCGTCGCTCATATAGGGCCAAACACCTGTTCCTATGCAGCAAAGGATCAACACGTGATGATTCTCCTCTTTCATCGTAAGTTATGGAATTCCAGCTTGATTCACCATGTTCCCATGCAAAGATTCTCATGCCTCCAGCATGAGGGGCGCATGACCTTCCAGAACACAACGAATGTCTCGAGCCTGGCAACAGAAACAGCCAAAGCCAGGCCCATCGGTTTGCGAGCACAAAACTTTAAAGGGACCATGTTGAGACATGGAGACTTTGATACAACTTTGGCTACCAGGCTTTTCGTGTATTTTCCTTTGGATGCCTTGTGCTTCAACCCCTTTTGAACATAGTAGGTTCGGCTATGATCTTCAAAGGAGTCGGTGACGAGTCAGGCAAAGTTTGTAAAGATTGGAAGGGACCTTCAGAACTTGCTCAAGATGAGTGGCGACTCGAATCGCCTACTGCACTGCAAATAAGGAACGATGCTCTATCATGTGCCAAACGAGGGAAACAAACTCTATGCACAAACTGATGTTGTATGACCAAGTACATATATATATATATATTCGTTACATTATAACTATAACACTTGGAGATCCAACACATACCCTTGGCAGGAAGTGTTCTGATTTCCTTTACGACGGCCATGTCGTTCAGTGCATGCAATCACTTTCGGAAAGCAGCACACGCACAAAAAGCATCCTTCAAGATAATATGCCCCAGAAGGAAGCAACAAAAACACAACGGGCACTCCTGGCAGTGCAGTTTTCTTGCAACGTTGTGTTCTTTTGAGTCAACATGTGTCACGAAAATGGCAAGACCTGTGCCACAGAACTGCCACTCTGTGGGTCGGGTAACATGCCAGATGCCAACGGTGATGCCAATGTTCACGTCCTTGAGATCCATCTTCAGGCTCTTCCTGTAGCGCGGCTCTCGCGTGCACCGACGTGCGGTCCGTGCACCAGGGCGGTCCTGTCAAGTCGTCACGCCGTCAGGTGGGTCGAGTAATGGGGTTCTTCAAAGACAGCGTGACCGTCCCTTGATCTCGCTCGGTTCTTTTTTTGGGGTCACCAAAAAGGTCCTTGTTCCAGGGCCTAGGTCACCTAGGTCAAGGGCGTCCCCCCAACAAAATCACTGTAAGAAGCAGGAGCACGACGTCGATGGGAAATTCCCACGATATAAATGTTCCTTAACCATTGTCACAGTTGCCATGTACTTTCACACGTATAAGAACTCAACTAAATAATGAACGCTCATTCCACTGCGCTCCTCAAAAATGGGGTTAGTCTAATTGCCCAATTGGGGGAACATTGTTGTTGTATCACACCCGTACAAAGACCTCTCTCACACTTTCTCAGGAAACTTGCATATACCCTTAAAAGGTATCCTGGTATGCGGCATAATTCGGTATAATGGCATAACTGATACTCGGTTGATGGTATTTTGCACCGGACCAATCTGTGTAGTTCGTAACCCCGTGAATTCAAGCAATTGCTCTTCCATATAGTTGCGTACTATTGCATAGAATGAACCTGCATCACTCCTGCTTTAGGGTACCAAGCATGCAAAATAACTATACAATTGTACAACTGCTGCAATCAAATAGCCCTATATATAGATTGTTTCCAAGTTGGTGCGCTTTTCAGGTTCCACCAGTGTCGGTCTAACCAGGGGTTTGAATCCAAATAATCCAGACCTTGTGAACCACGTAGGACGTACAGTAGGACCTGCAGAACACCGCTCTTACGGTGAAAAAAAGGAACACGGAGCTGTGCCTAGATTGCTTGTCGCTGCGCTTGAACTCAAGGATCCTCTCATGCCTTGCAGCAAGGAACAGGATCTGCGCAACAAGGCAGCTGAAGCTGATTGAAGGCGAACTTGCCCCCAAAACCGAACTCAAACAGCTCAGTTTTGCCTGGTGATGAAACTCTGTGTGTACCAAACATCGTCTGACCTGAATGAAGGTGACCACGGGCAGACGTTACGGTCCCTGGTGCAGTTCTTGATGTCGATATCACTAGGAGCTGAGTCTCGATGATGGGACATCAACATACATCAATTTTAATTCAACATCAACATACATCAATACATGTTCTATCATTTTCTGTATTTCCTGGGAATGCAAATCTAGAACATTGGAACGCCCAGCTTGGCGCTGGAGGACATGCTCCTTACCTTGAAATCTGCTCCTGACCTCGAACAAATCGTTTGGAGGCTCTCCTCATTCCCTACAAATGTCACGCATCAACCAGTGCACTTCATCTTTGGCAACCACACCATTTGAGAAGCCAGCCGCGTGTACTTGTTTGGGTCATATAGTCTATACCCCCAGGTCACTTCGTCTATCACTTCGTATCGCCCATGCTCGGCCCATCACTTGTCTTAAAACAGAAGCATCCTCTTCGTTTCTTCCGCCTTGATGTCGGTGGTGCCCAAAGATCTGTCATGTTCTGTCCAAAAAAGAGAGAACGACAAGGGCACAGCCATGGATCCGCGCCACGGCGCGGTTCAGCGGAAGAAAAAGAAGGACGCACGAGGCAGCGAACTCGACGTTCGGCCGGTCGGACGGGACGCCCAAAAACTGGGCGGTCCCGGCGTTGGATGGAAGGCCACCGTGAGGTTGATGTCTTCCTGGGGACCTGAGGACCGTGCTGCTGTGCGGAGCGTGCTCGAAGAGTCACGGATCGAGGTACTGAGATCTGAGATCTGAGATCTTCTAAAAGTGTGATCTACTAAAGACGACTGTTGACTGTAGGTTTCCAAACCCCTACTACAAGACTTACGGTGGTTTCTTACTAGGGGTTCCTTCATGTTCTTGGCTTAACAACAACTGGATCTTGGAAGTGTGCAGCAATTGTTGCCCTCTGGCTGGTTTTCATGCATAAACTGATAAACATATCGAATAGTTGGAAGATCTAAGGTATGATTTCTATTTGTAATCATATCTCCTCATGCGTTGGCATTTCTGGACAGGATTGTCTTTTTTGCCACCTTCCTGTGGCCCGGACGGACGAAGCCCTCGGAAGGAGTCACCGAGAAGATTTTGGAGTACTTGGCTCCAACCTGCCACACGACTCTCTGAGACAGAAAGAAGAAGGAAGTAGAACATGGCCAGAAGAGATGCCGGGAGCACAATTGTACATACTGAGTGCTAGTGTAAATGACATTTAAAAAAAAACACACACACAGCTGTTTTCTCATTTTCCCAGAGTTTATATACAGTATATATTCTGAATTACATATGCATGGGTGATGTTCCACTTCCGGGCCTCTTGGATAGAGTTCAGGAAATGGAGCATGCACAAAGCACCGCTTGGAAAGACATTGATGGTGGTCAATTATATATAATTATATATATATATTAATATATCGTTCATCTTGGTAGAACGATGCCTAAGGACACCCTTCTTCAGTGAACCAATCAAGTTGACAAAGGAAATTCTAGGCTGAACAAGTTGGAAACTGCCCTCCAGCATAACCAGCTCGGGAGATCATCCCTGATCAAACAGATTTGCTTGTTCATAGCGTCGAAATAGCGTGTAGCGTGAGACTTCCACCTCTCAACCCCATGCTTGGACATCAGGTCAAGATCTTCAATGTTTTGACCATGCAACGGAGTTTATTGGGCAAAGAAACACAACGGATCAATTGCCAAACATTATCTGAACATGACCTTCGGATGCAGGGCCGATTCCTGTGGGGGGGTCTAGGGGGGCAACAGTGTTTCCACTGCAGGCATGTCACCAGTATACTTGAGAGGTTGGGTGGGGAACCTCAACCACACCAGTGCCAGTCATCACAGAACCATGCGCCAGCTTGTTCACGTGGAACCGCATCATCTCACACATGGGCTTTTGTAGCCTTCAAGCACCAGCACACAGCCGTTACGGCACCTCACACGTGAAATAGCGAGTGGGACCCGCAACAGTGTTGTTGACATGGCCGGGTTCGGGGGGTTCACAAGCCATGGAGGCATGATGTCTGACCTGTTCATAGAGGTGTTTGTTTTGATTGTGAATCCATTCTCGATTGTAGGCTGCGTCCATCCACGTTCCTGATGTTCAGGAATGAACCAGTCCCGTTTCGACCATACAAAACGTCAAAAGGCTATGAAAACTCCTTGTGGAACATGTGGGACTTCCGTACTATAGTGCCCCGCACGCTCCACTTGAGTTTCACAAGAACCAATGAATTACAAAAGACAAAACCTGTATATCCGCCAGATTTCGTGAAACTTGTGCTTCCTTACACTGGTGGCTGGTAGCGCAAACATTCAAAATCTGACCTGGGTGCAGTGGTGACAATATCTGTGTGCCAAATCTCACAGCGTCCTTTGCTAAATTCCACGCCTTTGCAAACCTTGGCTGCAACACATCGTGCCCTGCAGTCTTCCATGTGCTTCACCGGCTCCACCACATAGTAGGCATTGGAGTTCCTGCCATTGGGTCCTCGACAAGCCTGGTTCAACCCTCCATTCACTGGTATGAGATACTTTCCAGGCCATCCATACCGCCAGCAAGTGAATCCCTCCCATTCTGGATAGGCAAAGGCCCAAATGCCCTCCTTGCGCTTCCAAAGCTCACAGCGTTTGCTGCGCGAATTGAACTCAACTCCCTTGCATCCTTCTTCTCCAAGTTCCTGCAAGCACAAGTCCTGACAAGATTCCAGCGACGCAACATTCAAGTGCACATCAAAGTAGGCTGGATTGTTATCAGTGGGACCGAAGCCACGACAAGCCCGATTTTGAGGGCCGGCAAACTCCTCCCACTCACGCCCAACTGTCAACCCCATGGACGAACTCGTAGTTGAGGAAGTTGTGGAGGCTAAGCACGTGTGGCACACATATCTGGTGCCAGTTTCAACCACTGTACCTCCATAAGTGCGTAGGCCGCAGCCATCTTCAAAGGTGATTGAAGCCACATAGTTGACACCAAGTGAACTGCAGGTGGCTTGTGGAACTCCATCACTCGGCAAGAAGGATCCACCACCAATGGCAAACTCCTTGCCAGGTGCAGCTGCACAAACTTCCTTTTCTTTGGAGAGCATGTAGTCTGTTGGACATGAAAGAGTGCACTCGGAACCGGAGGCACCTGTGCATGCTGGGTCTGCAAACGGCATAGCCGTCGTCGGAAGCACTTCCGATGTTCGGTCGCAGGTGGCACATTCATTGTCTGCCGGATTCATATAATAGTGCTTTTTCCTGGCCCAAGATGAACCCAAAGTGTTGCCACATTCGCCTGACTTTTTGGCGCGCGCGGCATGCTTTGGGCGGCCCCGAATGTTTGGGTTTTAATATAAGCATGCAGCATATGATGGCAAATAAGAACAGCCAATGAATGCGAGCTAACCTATAGGGAAACAGTGATGTTGATAGGAAAAACAGGGTTCTTCATGGGACCTCTGCCACATACACCCTGAACCACCGCAGCCGTCCTGAAGCGTCAGGTTGCGCGCGGGTCATGAGTTCGAAGCCAAGAGGGCAAAGGTAGTAGCACTCGTCTGAATACTTGGTTCCGTAGCAATATGTTCCTCAGCTTGGCGAACGAAGGAGCCCAGTGAAATGGACAACGGCTCGGAATGGCGCCAAAACACCTGCTGAAACAGCACGGAAAAGAGAACACACAGGCCAGTGTGTTTGGTTTCACGGCCATAGACTATAGACAAATGACATCTCACCACACCTGGGGCCCACCCAGGCCTTTGAGACAACCCCAGCCCTCTTGCAGCAAGGTTTCTAGCAGGAAGGACAGTGGATGATGTAGGATCCACTCTTGATCTGGCTGCAGCTGTACCTTGGAGACTAACAGCCTTGGAAGCTTCAAATGGAAGACTCCGTAGAACAAACACATCGTGGAGTTCTTATTGTTCTGGACACATTCTTTCTGACCATCCGTTTGAGTCTTTCAAAGAGGGCACATGAGGTTCCGCCCACAAGCATCTCGTGAAATCTCAAAGACGAGCCATTAGCTTATTTTCAAAACCCAGTGGCTGGGGCTGACCACTTGACTTGACCAAACAAAACAAACCAATGAACGGCTATGAAACATAAAAGGCCCTTCACTTAAAAACTATAGAGTGACTTATATAGTGGGAATAATCTGCAACATGCCAATAGAATAGCCCTTATTATCATATCGTTTGGCCCGCGGCCCGCGCTCGCCAAGACACGCATTTGCAGCATGAAATTGCCCTTGTTCCTTGCACATGATTTTTGCGAGTCGTGGCCCGATGCCACGGCCGTGATCAGCAACACTTGAAACAAGTGTCTCAGGCAGTGGAAGGACATGACCGGGAACTCAGCTAGGCGCCTAGCTGAGTGCACGAGTTTCCGCTGTACGGTAAACGGCTTCATGATAGAGCGAGCTCTGAGGTTGCAAACTACTTGTGATGTCCAGCATTTGGAACTGTCCTGTTGGCCATTAGGGGATTCTGCAATCTCAACAAAGGATTCCAACAATTCTCTTCTGATTAGGTACTGCGTGAGACTGCCATGCCTCACCTTAGTTGCGTTGTTGGTATTTCGCCACTCAGCGTCCGCACACCATTGGCCCCACCCCGATCCGGACCTCAGACGGGTCTTACCGCCGGTCTGACCGCCTGTCTTACCGCTCTTTCCTCGGTCTACCCGGTCTACCAAGGCCTCGAAGCGGAACTTGGCGCCCAGGTCGCCGAAGTTGTGGAGCCGCACCGCCTTGGTGGCCTGCAGACCGCGGGCGGTTGGACGGAAAGGACGTTTTTCAAAGGAAATCCAAGATGATCCAAGGTTCCAACAAAAAGACCAACAAAAACACCCATGCGGACATCCATTGACGTGCTTCTTCTCAAGCGGCGCTGCGACTTCAACGAGCGCCGCGACGCGACGAGCGCCGTGACGGTCGGTCGCCTGGGAGCCCACGACCACATCCCCGAAGAAGACCGAGTGCCTTGGTCAAGTCTTACCATGAGTGTCAAAGAGACTGATAGGACATGAGTGTCGACCCATCTGTTTTCAAAAAGACTCATGGAGGACAGTGGGGACTTCTTACAACTACTCAATGGTTTCGGTGTACTTAAGGAACTTATAAGTATAAGGTTATAACAACCTTAAGTAAGGTTATTCTATAGAATGCGATGGTGTGGCAGCGATGAATCCTCCCCCCGGACCGCGGCCCAGACCCTCTGGGCCACCCGGACTCGCTCAAGCGCATTTCGATGGCGTGGCAGGTGCCGGTCATGTACAGCAGCCGCACCTCGACTCGCGCGTCTTGGGACAGAAGGCTTAAGGGAGACGTCTTGCAAGTCGGCCCGGTGAACAGAGATCCGGTGTCTTCTACTTGGAAGGTGTTACATGTTACAATGAATCTGTTTCTTGGTGTTTGGAGCGATCAAGCAGTAAGAAGCAGGGTTTCAAACCACTTGTGATGAAGTTGAGTATGCTGCTGACCCAATCACCGAACCTGGAGCGAGTTATGTATTCGGCCTCCGAACGGCCCAAAGTCTCAGGAGAAGGTGGTTGGACCCTCCTCGCACCCACCCAAACCATAATCGAAACGGAGGTAGTATGGAGTTGGAGCCAGGGATTGCAGTCAGCCACCCCGCCCACGGTTGCACGATCCTCGACACCGTGCTCGCATTGGGCGACCAAGGGCAAGCGGAAGGGCGCGATGCGGTACCTGGACGTTTGGAACGGGAGGACGACGGTCAGCGGCAATGTAGAATCTTGAGCAACTAAAAGCCCCTTTTGGATTGTAAAGACACTATCTATATGGAAATGTTGTTAGGTAATCTACATTATGATGAGCTGTCAGGTTGACCTCTCAAAGCTCCTATACTTTCTTCCAAGTCCTGAACAGGTCTATTGAGACGCACATCCATTTGTCATAGTATGTGAGCTGTTCTCTAGCTGGTTTATCCCTGAGCTGAACTGTTTTCAGCCAAAAACTTGAAATGCAGCATGTGCCGAGCTGTTACAGCTTTACCAAGTTCTCTTCTTATGAACGCTTTCTTTTCAGTGGTGTTGTCTTCATTGTCCGAACACTACAAACTCATGGCCGAGATCATCTGCGCTGACAGAAGTTGGAAGTGCGCACCACAGGGCTTGTAAACATTATCTGCCTTGTTGGAACAACACTTGGTGGAGCATCACTGGCTGCGCAGTTTGGGAGTAAGGGCTCAAACCATTAGTTGAAATTGCTGCAACACGGTCAGTTACAGCCTGATTAGGGCATATTAGCATCGTGTTCTCACCATTCAAGTTGGACCTTGGAACATGCGAGCAACTACAACCGACATGGGCACTCAAATTGCGACCAAAGCATGCCAAAGCGACAAGGCAATATCTCCAAAAAAATGCAAGCGAAAAGTACAACATAGTGCACTCAATGGCTCTGCAAGGCCTTACGTGTCTCACATCATCAAAGTCAGACTAGTCCGACTTGTTTGCTGTCTTCACA